CTACCATTATAATAACAGAAGATGAAGGCCAAGCAAGAGATCGTTTATTGAGAAAATCAAGAGATAATTTGTATATTTTTATATACGTTATTATTAGCGTTATTGTTAGCAGAGAAGCAACGTCTTCTGATTGGCTGTTTTCCTGCTGAAGGTTATTCTGTCATCTCTTTGTGGCCGTTTCTTTGAAGGTCAGACCATATATCTGCTAATCGTATCCACCCACGCTAAGTCTGCTGTGACTGATTGTTGAGCTCCTCAAGGTTAAGCTTTGTTCTTGTTGTTTTCTCATGACTAAGATTTGGAACGTAAGCATTGACGTCAACTGCTGTCTACCAATTTTGGCTATCAGACAGCTGTCACCACAACAGCACTTCAAATGAATATTGAGGAGACGGAGGTGATCAAAATGACCAACCAACAAACCCCAAGAAGCACCAATCACAGTCAACTGAATAAATTTCAAAGAAGCTGCTTCCTACACTTATCTATGCAGCATCATTTCAACTACAGACAATTCGGCATGTATGAGGATGTCAAAATCGAAATCGGAAAGGAAAGACACACAGCCTCATTAATCTGAAATCAGTTTGGAAATCTTCTGCACTCCGCCGCAGCATTAAGAACAAGATTCGGTTTCTATTCAACATCAGTGTTAGGTAAGTAAGTCACTTCTTCTTTATGGGTCAGGAACTTGGCGCGTCACAAAGAGCATTTGCAACAGCTTACCGCTGCCTTCACAGACTCCATGCTGAAGATCAGATAATCAGAAAGGATTGGCAACAATAAACTCTGGGGAAGAACCAACCAATGACCTATTACTCAACAAATATGCCGTAGGTAATGGAGATGATTCCGACACACACACACACACACACCGAGAAGACTTTTGAGTGATATCATGCGTCACACGAACCCTTGAGTGGAACCCGAATTGAAAATGACGACTTGTTCTTAGTCTGAGGTGTCGCATGAAGGAGATCTTGTGAGGTGAAGATTAAAGCTTATGGGAAATCGTAAAGTCAGCTAAAAAAGACCGCGGAGGACAGATTGAAATAGAGATGTGATACTAAAACTCAATGTCCTAATCGGAACGCAAGGCGATATTAATATTAGTGCCATTAGATGGTTGGAGACAATCGGCAGGAATTCTTGGACCTAAGTTTTGTGCTAGTTGGCGCTCACCAGTCAGCAAGGCGGCTTATCTGCAATCTCAAAGGAACTCTTGTCTCGCCTGAGATTCGAAATCGCGTCACTCAGTGCTGCTTGCAGTCAAAGACGTTACCACTGAGCTATTCAGGCCCGCGATTGACTTCGTTTCAACGATTTACAGTGCACCGTGATAGCGAGTCACCTAGAATTGTGGTCAAACTGCAAACGTGACTGACAGAATTCAGTTCGCAGCAAAGATATGACGAGACACATTACACTTGTTACTAACTAGTGTCCAATCAAGAATAATAATCATACCGGGAACTGACCTTTCTATTTACTAGAGTATATTCAACTTTTAAACCAACCAGGAACCGATTGTGCAACAAATATGCAGGAAGAATTGGAGGCGGATTGGAGACCATAATCTGAGTAACCAAACCATCAAGTGACATCACACGACAGGACATCACTCGAGTGGAACCCGAAGGTGAAGCGGCGAGTTAGTTGTCAGTGCGAGGGTGGGGTGTGACATGGAGGAGGTGATATGAAGAGTAGAAAAGGAAGGTATGTGGGCAGACTTGGAGCCAGGTGAAAACGTTGGCAGAGAACCGAACGCAACGGCGACGTGCACGACCGAAGCCCTATGTTCCTCTAGGAACAAAAGGAAACAATAATAAAAATAAAATGATAATAATAATCAACTTTTATGGTATGACGGTTGATGATTTTATTGTTTCGTTCAGGTGAAAGTAGGTGGAACAAGATTCGAACCTGGAATTCATATGCTCTAAGTCAAGCGACTAAGCAAATGAATTCTATCTTCACTTTTGTTGGCTAAATGAAGTTATTCTTTTAAAGGGAAACGAGCACAAACTTCCCTAAGTGATTGGTTGCATGTAAGCCTTTCCTATTGATTTTCTTACCTAAAATAATAATAATTCGCCTTATTTCAAAGCAGTACTAATAATACAATGTGGGATTTTCAACATTTGGTACAATATTGCATCTAATTTTATCGAATGATATTAAAAACAATTACAAAAATAATAAAAGACCTGATTATTTTGTTGACAATATAGTAATTCATAGGTTTCCCACTCAACATTGTCTCAATCACATAGAACACGGGTTGGACAAATATGATATTTTTGAGTTCCTATACTTGGTAGTACAAGCATATAATCTTTTGTACTGACTTTTAGTTCTACCCGATGAGATACAGCAAGAGGAGAGTTGAGAATAGTGGGGGAGGGTGTTCAGGGTCAGACAGTATGGATTTAGATCATTTCTCGCATGAGTTCAGATGTCTGTCAGCTAATGCAGTGACAAGCTGACTAAGTTGCACACCACTTACCCTACTACTGACAACCTTTAATACCCTTCGCAATATGACATAGTCTTTTTTCAGTAGCCTAAGAAAGACTAAGGGAAGCCAGAAAAGTACAATAGGTAAGATAGAAGACTTAACAAATTGTAAAAGTAGATGTTTACGGGACATTTTCTTGGAGGTCAGAAAATAGAACTACACTCAAG